CCCTCTGACCCTCCCCCCTCTCATGTGCTCTCTCTCAAATAAATAAATAAAATCTTAAAAAAATAAAAAATAAAATAGAATAGGGGGCACATAGCCCCCATGGGCCTTGGCTTTGAGGCCTTATTAAAAATTCTGGGCAACAGAGAAGTCCATTCTACATTCTATAAACACGGATGAAGTAGCAAGAAGAATGGCTTAAAAAATAAATCCATCAAACAGAGTGGAAAGTGACCTCTGGGGTCTTTCATTCTATGTTCAAGGCCAGTGACTACAAACATTTTCCTAACTCTGTCATATTGTCTTAGTCCTGGCTGCTAAGACACATCTCCTGTCCAGAAGCTCATGAAACTATTTCTGACTTCTCCCCCATCCCCAAATGTGTCTAATCCACATCGGCTTCCCTTAGGACCTTTTCTCTAGATCTAGTCTCAGAGGCTCACAAGGGTAACAGATGAGTATTTTCATAGGGGCCTTCTGGAATGCCTTAGCTGCTAATGGTGAAGTTTTCAGACCCTGTTGAGAGAAGATGGCACCGAGGCACGTCCAATTCCAAGGACATCAAATTTGGGGAGTCCCTGAGTTATTTTCTTACAACACTTTGCCCATAATGAACGCTTTTGACTTGGAATTCTGATTGACTGGTATTCTTTGCTGTTTCTAGTACACATGACAACACACAGCTCTCCCTGGGTAACCACAATAAAGAAATGTTCCTAATGTTAGGATAATTTACTGCAAGTCTTTAGGAGAAAAGGCTGAGTTGAAGCTAAGATTTAATTAGTTCTATTTTATTTCTCATTATTTTCCCTACAAAGCAGATAGATGAAAAGTGGTGGTTTTAAGTGAAACGCATCTTCTTCCTCAGACTCTTTCTCGAAATGTGGGTTCACACTCCCTTCTGGGAGTGACATGCTGTTGATTACTTGGGAATCAATCAACAATCCCCATCCCATCCCCATTTTTTTAAAAAAAGCCTTTGTGTCCTTTATAAGAAGAATTAGGAAGAGAAAATATTTTCTTAACAAATCTTTAGTTTGGAGTTTGTGTTCTTTTTTTTTGGCAGTGGAAGCCATAATCACATGCTGATGATAAGTATCCCATTAGCACCTGCAAACATGGGATTAGGATGAGCTGTGAGCCCCCAGCAGGAACAGGTGAGCCTCCTGGCAACAGAAACCCTGTTTAGGCCTCAACAAAAACACAAAGGACAAGATTTTTCTTTGTAGTCTTTGATTTTTTTTTTTTTTCTTCTGCTTCAGTGCTAGTTTTTCCTTTGGTCTGGCAGATTGTCTCAGCCTCCCGTCTTCATGAAGCGACAGGATGGGATGAAGAAAGAATGCCCTGGCATCTCCACAGCCCTGGATTCTAGTCCGGAGCAGCTAATGACTCACAGTGGGCATGTTGCCCAAGGTTTCTGAATCTCAAGTTCCTCCTTAGCAAAACAAAAACTATCAGCTCTCGCGACCTCAAAAAAAAAAAAAAACCACTAAAAAAAAACCTCTCAAGATGTGTTAAGTAAAACTACCAAGATACATGGAGGTGTTTTGTAAACTCTGAAACCCTGCACAACCGTGTCATCGGGAAACCTCATGGGGATGAGGTGTGAGAGGAGGAGAGCAGGTACAGCGGGGGTAACCTGGGGCTGAGTTCCCACTCCTGGCCACATGCTGGGCCTCCTGTGGTCCTGAAAATGGAGACAATGCTCCATAAGGTGAAGGACAGACTCTGCAAGATCTGGCTCCTTCCTATGTCACTACACTTTTCTCTCTTCATCCAGAACTGCTCTCTGTCCTTCACCTTTTAGCCAGTTATCACTTCCTTAGGGTATCCATCCATGACTCCTTGACTAGGTTACAATTTCTCCTATTGCGTGATCTTGTAGAAGCACGTAGCTTTCCGAATTTGTCACATGTGTCATGGTTACAATTTCCCTTTATCTAGGTGATTTCACATTAATATTTGTCTCCCCTATCTGCCTCTATGAGGGGCAGAGATAAATTTTGTCTTTTACCATTTTATTCCCGGTTCCTAGCAGAATGCCGGGGGTATGGTAGGTGCTTAGTGCATATTTGTTAAATGAATGAATAAGTGACCAGGTGGATGAATGATGAGATGGGCCCATCTTGGAGATCCTGTGGGATCCAAGGTTAACTCTTGGATATTTGAGCCTCACTCCTGAGAAGGAATAGTTGACGAAATGGGCATTGGAACCCTAGAAAGCCAGAATATGACTTTGGTGCAAACTGCCCTTTTATTCTCAGAAATTTATTTACCTAACTAAGGTCATTTGGATGTGTGGACATCGAGTGGGCATACACAAAAGGACATGCATAAAAGGGAAAGGAGCTTTCTGGAGAAAGCATGACTCCTAGAGAGAACCCCACTCTGGGTAAGAAGGTAAACGTTGCCAGAGATGAAGTTGCACCTGGGCAGACTTGTTTCCTCAGGAAAACAAACAAACCAAAAAACCCATGTTATTTCTCTAAGGAGGGAACTGGCCTGGGCTATGCTGGCAAACTTGTTTATACTCGTGTTGGGGTGTGCATTCTTGCTTGAGCAGCGGCTATCTGAAGATGCCAGGGCTACTCGGTGGAGGTGCAAGAGGCGAAGGAGCACAAGCAGAGGACGCCTCAGAGCTCAGCAGGCGAAGTGCAGCACCAGCCTGGGGGGCGTGACTCTCCTCAGCTCTGCAAGCCATCCGGCCTGCCTCTGAGCTTGGGGAAGTGACCCGCTTGGGGACATTGGGAGCCAGCACCTTTGTTCTCCTGCAGGAATCATCGACTCTTTCGACTGATTAAGGGAGTGGGGGACAGATGGCAGTGAGAGGAACAGGGTGGGTAACGCGTGGTGATTTCTGCCGACACACAGGCTTATGAGTAAGTGTGAGGCTCCTCCTTGAGGACTTGCACAAATGCCTGAGGAAGACCTGGGCGCGGGGTAGTCAGGCTGAGGGCCTGCCAGGGCAGGTGGGACAAGCAAAGGAACTGGGGTTAATTGTTGTGAAGGGGACTTTTATTTGCAGCCACAGCCTGGGTAGATCTGCTGACATTGGGGTTCCATTTTAAAGGATGCATAAAGTGAATTTGCCTATGGTAGAAGACGTTTCTGAGAAGCTGCTAGTTCCCTCCACATCCATGCCCACGTTGGGCAGTTCCTGGGCATAGCCACTCTGTGGTAATCAATTTGTGCCAGTGTGCCTGGGACTCTCCTAGCTTTAGCACCGAAAGTGCCCAGTTCTGGGCAACCCGGGACGGTTGTTCACCCTATGACTCATTCACACTATTTCTTAACTTCACGCTGAGAAGACAGAGCCGACCACACACAGCCTCACAATATAGCAAAAACAAGAATATGTCTTCTTCTGGGATATTAAGAATCTACAGAACCAATAGATACTGTAAAGTCCCCTTCAAATTGTGTACCTGAGAAGGAAAATGAACACAAGGAATCTTCCTATGTTAAGGTGCTATCCTGAGCCAATAATTCATTTTACATTCTCCAGCATTTCTCTTTTTTTTTTAAGATTTTATTTATTAGAGAGAGAGAGAGAGAGAGAGCCTGCACACGAGCCGGGGTGGAGTGGGGGGCAGAGGGAGAGGGAGAAGCAGACTCCCGGCTGAGCAAGGAGCCTGATGCGGGGCTTGATCCCAGCACTCTGGGATCATGACCTGAGCTGAAGGCAGAGGCTTAACCCTGAACCACCCAGGCACCCCCACAACATTTCTATTTATATCTACAGTGGCTATTCATACTAGATTTTCTGTGATAGATGTAATTTTGCAATATATTTAGTAATGAATCAAGTATATAATTAATGTTATGAGTTTAAAAGCATTTTAAACAAGTAAAATCTAAATCAGAAAAACATGTTTGTTAGAAATTCTGCCTTGATTTTTCATTCTGAAATTATGGATCACCATATCACCAAGATAGTCAAATCCTTAACAAATGGGACAGTGACTACCACCCCCATATATGCAAATAAATAGAGCGGTGAAAGATAAGGAAGAGAAAGGATTCTACTGACATTCCTTTGTTCCAGAGATTCCTTGGCAGAAGCAGTTCCTAGATGAATAGGTTCCTAGGTCTTGTTGTTAGATAGAAGGAATCACTGGACTCGTCTGCTGCGGCATAGAATGGTGGGGCTGTAGGGCCAGCCATCTGGAGAGAGGGCACATCTTCTTTTCCCAGACAGGCTGAGAAGATGAGGAATAACCCGCCGAGGGCCAGGAAAATCCCAGCAGCCCAGCCCAGGTAGAGGGCATCTCCAAACTCCCAGCGAGGCACAATCTCAGGGATGCTGTTATCCCAGAAGTCTTGGATTGTAGCATAGGCCACCCAAGAGACTGGAAAGAGGGTAGTGGCTGAAGCTGATGCTTCCAAAGTCCCTCCCAGAAGGCAAAGCCGCCTCTTAAAGACCCATCTGATCCTGTGAAACTGGAAGCATTCGGACCCAAAGCCAGAGAGCAGAAGCCCCAGTAGCCCCAGCCCATGGGAGGCTACCATGAGAATGCGGGATACCTGGAGCTCCTGGGGCAGAGACAAGAAGGACTCAAAGGCCTTGCACACGGCAACGTCCTCCTGATTCACGCAGACCTCCCAAAGCCCCATAATCCAGGTCTCCATTTCGTTCAGTTCCAGACTGAGAGTTTTCCACTGAGGCAGGATGGTGGTGACACAGGAGCAGACCCAGCCGAGGAGAGAGAGGAGCAGTCCTCCAAGCTGGGCTTTCCCGCGGAAACTCCAGGCCATGGCTGCTCCCACTGCAGAGGCAGAAAGCAAAGGACAGGCGGCTCGGTGACTGATTAGCAAGGAGTACTTTTGGGGATGCCCAGTGGAAGGTCTTTCACATTTGGACAGGGCTCTTGTTTTAGTTCTTAGGCAGCAGCTGAGGCAGGTGCCAGGAACTTGGCAACGTTAGGTTCAGGGGGTGTGCCCAAGATCGGATGTGGGCGTGGGTTCTGGGGGAGGGCCCCATGAGAGGCAAAAAAAGCCAGATGGTAAACCATCAATATCTATTTGATAAGTAAATTCATAAACTTGAAGGTAAAATCACTCCCCTATTCCGAGATGATGAGAATGGTGTTCTGGGAATATACATTGATGTAATCTTTCTGGAAGACAACATGACTTCATATTTCATACTTTTATTTTTTTAAAGATTTATTTATTTATTTGAGAGAGAGAGAGGAGGGGCAGAAGGAGAGGGAAAGAAATCCTGGAGGACCAGATACAGAAA